TGCTGAGTTCCAGAACTGCACACTGAGAAAGTCCCGGAGAGGGTCACGTGACAGCGTGAATGCACGTCCCAACACGACGGGACTGTACACAGACTTTGCGTGTATTTAATCACGATTAAAAGTGGAATAAAGACAGAATAATGAGCAGCACCAAAGGCGTTGTCTGCAGGGGCCAGTGAGGCACAGCTCCGGGCTGAGCCCTCGGTAGACAAGCTCACGGCAGTCCCGGGAGGCAGGCGTCACTGTCCAGAGCCTGCAGCAAAGGATGTGGCGGGGCTTGGGGGTGCCGGTGGCTGAGCTCCGGCCCCAGCACCCCCACCCACATGGGCCTTGGAGGACGGCGGCCAACAACAGTGGTTGCCGTGGTTTGGGTGTGATTTGAGCGTGTCCCCGAGAGGTTCCTGTGCTGGAATCCTGGTCCCCAGGCTGGTGACGCCGCGAGGTGCTGCGCCTGCTGCGATGTGGTTGAGCCACTGGGGCCACTGCTCCCTGCACGAATTCCGGGTCCCGGAGCCAGCTTGGAGTGGAAGCCCTCCCCTCACGCTGGCTTCCTGTCTCGCCCGTGCTCTCTCGTGCGTGCATGCGCTCCTGCCACGTGCCGTCTGCCGCTCCCCGGGGTTTGACAGGTTCCAGGAAGCCCTCACCAGAGCCAGCGCCGTGCCCACTGCACCGTCGGCCTCCAGGACTATGAGCCGAACAAGCCTCTTCTCTTTATAATGTTATTATACTCAGAGCAATGGAGAAACGGACCAAGATGAAGACACACTGGAAGCAGGGAGTTAAGAGGCACGTCTAGGGCAGGTGTTGCAGCTCCGCGGGTTAAGTCGCCGCGGACGATGCCTGTGTCTCACACTGGAGTGCTGGTTCCAGCCTCGGCTGCTCTGCTTCTGATCCAGATCCCTGCTAATGCATTGTGGGAGGCAGTGGATGGCTCAGGTGTGTGGGCCCCTGACACCCCAAGGAGAGCCTGGATGGGATATTCCAGACTCCTGGCTTTGGCCTCGCCCAGCCCTGGTGGTTGTGGTATTTGGGGAATGAGCCAGTGGATGGAAGATCCCTCTGTCTCTGTCTCTCTCTGTGTCGCGTTGCCTTCCAAATTGATGGAAACACATGTTTTTTAAAGGGCAAGTTTGATCCACAAGTTTTAAAATTCATGTATACTTTTTCTGCATATTCTCCACAGGCTGTCTGAAGCTCCCTTGCGTGCAGATTCCAAAATGTCTCTGCATCAAAGTCAACCTCCGAGGGCCGGCATCTAGCCTGGTGGTCAGGCCGCCGGTGAGACCAGCCGTCCCGGACCGGAGTGCCTGGGTCCCTTCCCGCTGTGTGACCGGAGCTTCCTGCCGCTGGCACCCCCGAGAGGCAGCCGTGTTCTGGTCTCTGCCACCCACCTGGAGTGAGTTTGCAGCTCCTGGATTCAACCCCGGCCCAGCCCTGGCCATCTCGGGCATTTGGAGACTGAATCAAAGAGGGAGACCTCTCTCTCTCTCTCTCTCTCTCTTTCTCTCTCTCTGCTTCTCAAATAAGTAAATACTTTTTTTTTTTTTAACAAAAAAGAGGCCCGAGAGAGAGAAAGCCAGGAGAAGGCTCCACCTACGACCCGAGAAGCAAATTGGCCCTGACCTTGGACTTCAGGCCTTCGGAACTGTGAGAAGTCTGTCTGTGTGTCTCTGAGCCACCCCAGCAGCCCGAAGGGGCTAAGACCACCACATCCATCCATGAAGACCCCAAAAGTCCCAGAAGTGCACGTGTGACGTGAGTGAGCCGTGCGGTCTGGGAATTCCAACCCAGTAAGCCGCAGGAGGGGGATGGTGACCCCGCTGTCTGACCACTAGCGCCCAGTGAGGATGCGAGAGTGTCAGTGGGCGGGCCCTAGTGGGAAGTCAGCCCGGGCTAAGAGGAGGAGTCTCTGGGCTACAGTGAAACCCCCACCCCGTGATGAGGATCGTCGGGGGCGGGCAGGGGGGCATTGGAGGTTTAACACTGAGCCAAAGTGCCACAGCGCCGCTGGGCTGGACACCAGGGGCAGGCCAGGGGTGTGCGTCTCTGGCTTGGGGAGCTCACGAGGCCAGGAGACCCTCCCCCCACCCCCCCACCGCCCAACCTCACTCAGCAAGGCAAGTGGCAGCCAGGAATAGCGCCCATCTGACCGCAGAGACACCCAGCCAGGCCACCCTTCAGCCAGGCCACCACAAACCACGAGCCAGGGCACAGGCCGCTGGAGGCCAATCCTGTCTCCCATTCCCAGCCCTGCCATCTGGGTGGGCCGGTGGGCGGGCCCTGCCCGGACAGGAGCCGGGCTGCCCTCCGCTGGGACGGAAGTCAGTTTTGAGGGTTGCTCTTTCCCTAAACGCATTTGTCTCGCTGTTCACGGTTTCCATGGCCCCTCGCCAGCGGAATTCACACTCGGCACCGCGGGAGAGCCGGAGCGTAGCAGCAAGGGCAGAGACAGAAGTGGGCGCAGGGGCGGCCGTCTGAACCAGCGGCGCTCGGCAGCTTCCTCGCCGGGGGACCGTTGGGAGGCCGTGGGTCCCTTCCGTGGGCCAGACAGGGCAAGGCAGCAGAGACGTGACCGATGGCCGCAGGAAAGTCACCTGTCACGGCCCAGCCTACCGAGTCTACGTCCCCTTTCAAATGGCTCCAGCCCCAGGGCTTGTTTGGGTCTCCCACCGGGGACTTTCGAAGTGGCAGGCAGCTGCGTGTGGGGTGACCAGCAGCTGCTCCTCGCAGGCATCGTGGGCCCCGTCCGGAGAGCTGGCACCCCCGGGCCCGTGTCTGGCACGGGGGCCTGCGGCGGCTGGGCGCAGTCTGCTGTCTGTGTCTCCCGTCCAGTCTGAACTAAATTGACCTGCTCTCCGCTGGAGGCTGCATGGCTGCCACTACAGACGGAAGGCACTGGATTCACTCCTCTGCTAGCGGCCGCCGTCGCGCTCCCCTCCCCAGACGGCTCTCCCAGACACACACGCACGGCAGCACAAAGCTCCATCCCGACGTCCTCTGGCTTGTCCTGGGTGGGCCAGCTCAGTGTTCCCCTACTGCTGGTTATGCTGCACCCCACTTCTCTGCACAACTGCGCCCCATGCTCTGTGTGCACACCCCGTGCTGTGTCCACACCCCATGCTCTGTGTCCACACACCCCATGCTCTGTGTTCACACCCTGTGCTCTGTCCACACCCTGTGCTCTGTCCACACCCTGTGCTCTGTGTCCACACACCCCATGCTCTGTCACACCCTGTGCTCTGTGTTCACACCCCATGGTCTGTGCACACCCTATGCTCTATGTCCACACCTTGTGCTCTGTGTCCACACACCCCATGCTCTGTGTTCACACCCTGTGCTCTGTCCACACCGTGCTCTGTGCACACCCTGTGCTCTGTGTTCACACCCCGTGGTCTGTGCATACCCTGTGCTCTGCGCACACCCGTGTCTGTGCATACCCCGCGCTCTGTGTCCACACCCTGTGCTGTGTCCTCACCCCGTGTGCTCTGTGCACACCCCGTGCTCTGTGCACACCCCGCGCTCTGTGTCCACACCCTGTGCTGTGTCCTCACCCCGTGTGCTCTGTGCACACACACACCCATGTTTGTGCATGCACACACCTGCACCCTTGTTCTGTGTGCACACACGCATGCACACACTTCCTACGGTCTCTTGTGGGCAGAGGTCACAGCTGACTCCACAACCGAAAGCTAAACCACAACAGTGCCCAGCACCGCCCAGAAGCCGTGTGGGAGGAGAGCAGCCGGCAGAGCCGTTATGCAGCTTCCTGCGAGCATCCCAGACACAGGAGGCAGGATGCGGGCGGGCGCTGCAGTGAGAGCCCAGCCCCCAACAGCAGGGGGAGGGGGCTCCTCTCAGAGCGGCCCCAGGCCCCCGCGGCCCTGGAGGGCTGAGCCTGGGCTGCAGCCGACCTGGCAGTGAGCTCTGCCGCTGCGGGGCCCAGATAACACTGCACCCCGACTTCCGGATGCGGGGAAGGCGTTTCCTGCCGTGGGGACCAGGGCGTGGGGAAGCAAAGGCATGGGGGCCCCTTAGGAGTAATAACCAGTAAGTACTGGGCGCCAAATGTGTGCTCCACCGTCATCCGCTCAGGTTGAGTGCGGTGCCGAGGCTGGCGGCTCTGCCTCCTCCTCAGGGGGCGGCTTTTTGTGTTTTTTAGGTTTATCTAAGAGCAAGTGAGCCGTCCACTGGGTCACTCCCCAGATAGCTGCAACAGCCGGGGCCGGACCAGGCTGAGGCCGGAGCCAGGAACTCCGGTCTCCCACGCAGCCCACTCTCTGCAGCTTCCCAGCACCTCAGCAGGGAGCTGGATGGGAGGCAGCCGCTACACAAACTGGCTCAGTGGGCACAAGCGGCGGCCTAACCCACGCACGGCGCCGGCCCCCCGAGCGGGTGCTTGGCTTCTGCGCTCCCAGCATGCCCTGGGGAGCTGCGCGGAGTGGAACAGCCACGTGTGCGCCCCACACCAGCCAGGAGAGAGCCACGTGGAGGATCCCCATTCCGTACAAGCGTCCTGCGCCAAGTCCTCGCAGACGGCCTTGAACCCGTGGTCCACCTGCGGATCCAAGATCTGCACAGCAGCCCTGGGCCCCCACCCAGGGCGGAGGGAATCCACGGCCAGAGCCCCAGCCCCACATTGGCCACTGGCGAGGGCAAGGGCGGGCCTAGACCCCACCACCACCACCACTTCCCGACCGACCTCGTCCTGGCTGTTTGCCACAGGCAGGCAGGTTTGTGGGTCTTGGGGTGATCAAGTTGGGCCCAGTGGAGACACCAGTCACCCTAACGTCTGCCCAAGGCCACGCTGCCTCCAAGTCCTGGCTCGACCCCCAAGCCTGCCGCCCTCCACCATGCTCGGCCGGGCACTGAGACCCCTGAGCTGCCCAGGCGGCCTCCCCCGCCCTGCAGGCCCTCCACACCAGAGTCCTAGCCTCAGTGGCTCAGCACGTGCCCCCCAAAACGAAACCCTGCCCCAGAAGCATCCAGATCCCAGCCAAGTCTACTTTAAAATTACATTTTATTTCTCTTTGTGTTTTTTAGAAAAAAAAAATTCACTTTACATTATCTTCAGGAGTCTGTGCCTCCGGGCAAGTGCATTGGTTGTTGTCACAGTACTCTCCAGGACAAAGATGGCTCTTATTGCTGGGAGAAGGGAGCGCGTGTCCACGCTGGGGCCGAGGGCACTCACAGCCCAGGAAGCCTGGGGCCTGCGCTGCACCAGCGAGAGCTGAGCGACGAGACCCCGGCGGCGCCGCGGCCCGGGTGGGACCTGCCGCCCTCCAGGGTCTCCCCAGCCCCAACCTGCGGTGTCGGCAGCGAGGCTAAAGAGAAAGGACCCCCAGGAGAAAGTGAGTCAGGGAGCAAGGTGGGCAGGGGCGGGCATGCAGGGGAGGGGCTGCTGCCCCCCACTCAGAAAATGCAAAGGGGCTGGGGGCCTCTGCCCCGCTCGCACCCCACCCCACCCGGGCTGTCTCCTTAGCACAAGACCTGAGTGTAGAGAAGGCCCCTCCCATCAAGAGGCCATGTCCAGTCCTGGACACGGAGCTGGGGCCCCACGGGCACCCCCTCGGCGTGCAGCCTCTCCTGGCGGCACGGTCTTCGCGCACCCCAAGGGGCCCCTGCAGCCCCACGGGGAGGTCCCAGCCCGACATGGGGCTCCCTAGCACCGCACCGGCCGGCAGCACCACACCAGTGCGATTCGGCTCAGCTGCAGCCTGGTGGCACGGCCTGGGCTCAGAGGCTGCCTGGTGGCCGAGCACCCCTGGAATAATCACGCCACCCCATGCGCGAGGAGAGCAAGGGGTCGGCTCGGGCAAGTGGCTCGTGTGCAGCAGGAAGGGGGGCTGTTTTTCCGACCTGACAGTTTTCTGTGCTTGCTATCACTTTCGATGCGGGACCGTGGGGAGGGAGCTGTGGGTTTGGCAAGCTTGAAGCAATGTGGCTGCAGCCAGGTGTCTCCAGCAGCCCGTGCCCTGCCGACACACACCTCTGCGTGGCTCAGGCCCAGGCCCCGGGTGCCAGAGGGCCGTCCTCGGCCCCCGCTGTGCCAGCCCAGCCCCCGCCCCCCGCCACCACTGAGCCCTCCAAGCCCTGGACCTGGGGGCTTTGTGTCCCCGACCCCCACTCCCTGTGCCGCGCGGGGCCAGACAGCCCGCGAGCGGCATCCCTGAGAATCGGCTGGGAGCCCAGTGTGGGCTCCAGGGCAGCCAGCGTGGACTGCTGGAGCCCCCGGGGCTCGAGGCTGGGGACGCAGCGAGGGAAGCACAGCTCGCCCCCACCTCTCCGACCCGGGCTGTCCTGAAAATCCCTCGGGCACAGCTTCCAGCTCACGGGACCCTCCCTCTCCCCCGGAGAGCCACCCAAGGCAAGTTAAGGCTGCTGGGATGAGAGGAGAGACCACGGGCACACCTGCCCTCCAGAGCTCCTCCACCGGACCGGGGAGGGAACCTCGGGGGGAGGGGCGGACAGCCTGGGAAACCACAGAAGGAGCAGCTGGTTTGACGTCTGCATCCCTCCCGAGAGAGAGCTGGGAGGAGGGGCTCGGGTGGGGCGTGTCCCCAGCCCCGCCCCCAACCACCAGCAGGAGAAGAGATCCTGCTAGCTTTCTCCGTTTTTTTTTTTTTTTTTTTTTTTTCCCTTTAAATTCAGCTTAAGGCAAAAGTTTGGCAAAGCAAATCTACATAAGGCCGCGTGTCAGAGGACACAGGGCGGCGAGGGGAGGTCCCGCCACTCCCGGCAAACCACCCACGGCACGGATCAGCCTCTGATCCTGGGCCTGAGCCACATTCCCGGGGGGAAGCGACTCCTCCCCCCACCCCGCACCCCCCAACCTCACAAAGAAAAGTTAAAAGAAAGAAAACTGAAAAAGCAGTGTTTCGGGGAATCTGTTGCAAGTGGGCGATGGAGATCATGAGAAAAGGAGAGGGAAGAAGGGACGGGGGTCGGGGGAGACCCCGTGGGCCGAACGCGGGGCTGCCCCGTGCCGCTGGCGGGCGTTGGCACGGTGGGGTCCGCCCACTGAAGGTAGAGAGGTTGTACTTTGCTGAATGACCACAGGGTGCGTGGGTTCGTTCTGAGCAGTATTATTACCGGTGAGTCGAAGCGAGCGGCTGCCCCGGCCGCTACCGGTGCTTGGGCGGGATGACCACCAGCGGCTGCCCGTACTTGGGCCGCCACATGAGGACCTGAGCGTCGTTGGCGTTCGGCTTGACCAGGGCGCTGGGCGGGATGGGCTCATTCTTGCTCAGGATCTTGGGCTGGTCCTGGGCGATGGGCTCCCGCAGCCGGGCGCGCTGGCCCAGGGGCCGGGTGGGGTTCACCTCAATGCTGAGCTGCATTCGCCAATGCAGCGTCTGCAGGATGATCATGTCGTTGGTGGACGTGTTGGTGGCCACCAGCCACGTGGTGAAGCTCTGGTCCCGGTAGATGCTGGTCAGCTTGGCCACGTTGCTCTCGCTCACGGGCACGGCCCACGTGACGCTGGGGTAGAAGTTGTCGTTCATGCTGATAATGAACTTGGAGTCTCTCTTCGTGGGGCCCACAATGGTGCACGTCTCCGTGGTGTTGCCGTACCAGGGGTAGTTCACCCCGTCCGAGTCGCTGATGGCCTCGATCTTGCCCTCCTGCAGGTCGGGCAGTTCCCAGCTGGACCTGAGGGCGAGGAAGGCCACAGGTCACTCGGGCAGCCACACGGGGCAGCCATTCCGTGTCCCCGTGGCATACAAGGCAGGCGTGGTCCCTTGTCCATGGGGCTTAGCCCCTGGGAGAGTCACACAGGGAGCACACGGCGGGGATGGCCTCGTCCTGCCCCCTACCCCGCCCCAGCTCCGTCCCTAACCAGCGCCTCCTTGGGGGGGGGGGGGTGTCCCAGGACCCTATCTGGCCAGGCCTGGCTCCCACCCTGTCGGGGCCCAGAGGGCTTGGCCTTCCTGGGGTGGAATGGGCGGCCAGGCTACGGAAAGTTCAACTTGGGAACACCTTGGTGACATTCGGCCTGCGCAAACCCCCGTCCCCGGGACCCCAGACGCTTCCCACGTATTCTCCTGGTCCCTACGAGAACCGTGAGCAGGAACTCGCCCGTCCAGGGCAGGGCACAAGCAGTTATCTGACCCTGGTCTCCATCGCCACAGCAACCTGCAGATGGAAGAGGCCAGGAGGCCTGTCCCCTCTAGGGACCCGTGGACCCCACCTCCAGACGAACCAAGCAAGCAGGGCAGAGGGCGGGGCCAAGGCCACTTTCTCCAGAGGAGTCCGGCCAAGTCCAGGGGCCCCGGGGGGCCTGACTGGGTCTGTCCTGCTCCCAGCTGCACCCCCAGAATGCGGCCGGCCAGGGACTCCTTGGGTCCACACTCCAGCGTGCACTCGGGGGGGTGGGGGGCGCACTCCTGAACAAGCTGCTTTACAACCCGCACTCCCGTCCACGGCTCTGCTCCCAGTGTCCACAGGACACCGGCCCCGCCCCCTTCCATGTCCAAGGAGCTGAAGGCCTTGTGCCGTCTGACCCCAGCCCCCCGCCGGTCACACACAGGTGACCACATTCCACTGTGCCGAGGCACCCATGCAGGCCATGCTTGCTGAGATACCACAGAGGATGAGTGACGGGGAGCAGGCGCGGCGGGGACAGAGCGCGGCCGTCCTTGGCTGGGTGCCGGGCTCCAGTCTGGGGAGCTGAAAGACCACCAGAGCCGGGTGGGGGCCGGGTGGGGTGACGGCTGCCCGGCAATGCCAGCGTGCGGAACCGGGCCGCACGACGGCTTCGGGCGGCAAGCCGCGTGCCAGCTGTGCGCTACCCTAAGTTGTTTTTTGTTTTTTAAAAAGCATATGTCTCTACTAAAATGTGTCACTCAACGGTAGCAGTTCGCAAAACTGCAGCCGCCACAGGAAGAGTGATGAGGAACGTGACCATGCTGTGTTTTCCTGTTCAATCCGTAGACGGGCGCACGCCTGCCTAGTGGGCCACCTCCTGCCTGGCCCCAAGCACCGCCGGCTCCAAGGGAACCTGGCAGCAGCTCAGAAGACCCCACGGGTCGGAAGGACCCACCTGTCCCTCCGGCCTGGGGCCCACAGCAGTGGCGAAGGACCACTGCATGCACCTGCTGACCACTGTAGGCCCCAGCGTGCACTGTGCCAGCAACCCCGGCGGAGCTGGTCCCATGTCGACTCTCTCAGGAACTAGGCGCTTCGCTCTGGCCCTGCAGAAGGCCTCGTGCAGGGCAGTCGGGCTGCCCCGTCTGACCCAGCCCCGACCTGGTCACCCCACCGGCATGAGCTGGCAGACAGCGGTGTCTCATGGGGCATTACTCAGGACCTGGGCCACGCCGCATTTCCACGTCATCACCAGGCCAGCGGGGGTCTCCCGACAGGGGACATGGCAGGGACAGTGGTCAAGGACACTGGAGCCCAGCATCCAAGCTCAGGCCCGGCCGCTCGCTCTGGGATCAAGCCACAGCCTCTCTGAGCCCCCACTGCCCGGACCGTGGCTTGTGGGGCCGGCCAGGTTCCTGTGACGGTGAAATCGGGAGACTCCAAGGTCGGCAACAATGAACGGGAGCTCCTGGAGACCACTGAAGAAGGGCCGGTAGGCAGAGGCGTGCCTCGGTGACTGGCAGCCTGTGAGCCCATCTCCAACACTCTCCTAAAGCAATGAATGCCACACCGCGCCTGCTTCCTCTGTAAGTTCTCCTTTCAGTTGTTCTGGGATGACCTTGAGGTTCTGGAGTGACCTTGAGCTTCTGGGCAGACCCTGAGTTCTCTGCTCCCCAGGGCAGCTCCAGGCACTGGCCTCTGTGGCTCTCCAAGGCCACACTGGAGATGGAGTTAGCAGACCTCACGCGACAGCTGGACACGAGGACGCTTGCTCAGAGACTATTTCAACATGGGTGAGGTGAGCCTCCGGGCCTGGCACGGGTGCTGCTGCACACGCTGCGCCCCCTACCCCCTACCCCTCCCCAGTCTCCCAGCCTCCTTCCCAGGTCCCCCATGATCTCTTGAAAACACAAATCTGGGGGCAGGCAGTCGGCCTGGGCGCTAAAGCCCCCGTGTCCCATGGTGGGGCGCCCGGGTTTGATGCCTGGCTCTGGCTGCCCAGCCCTGGCAGCTGTGGGCATCTGGTGCGTGAACCAGCGATGGGATTCTTCCTCTCTCTCCCTCTCTGCCGCTTTCTCTCTGCCTCTTGATAAGTTTTTTAAAATTTAAAAATTTAAAACGATGGGGCTGGTGTCGTGGCTTAGCAGATTAAACCGCTGCCTGCAAGGCCAGCATCCCATATGGGCACCGGTTCGAGTCCAAACTGTTAGACTTCTGATCCAGCTCTCTACTATGGCCTGGGAAAGCAGTAGAAGATGGCCCAAGTGCTTGGGCCCCTGCACCCGCGTGGGAGACCCAGAAGAAGCTCCTGGCTCCTGGCTACGGATTGGCCCAGCTCTGGCCATTGCGGCCATTTGGTGAGTGACCCAGCAGATGGAAAATATCTCTGTTTCTCTCTCTCTGCCTCTCTAACTCCGCTTTTTAAGTAAATAACTTTAAAAAAAAAAATGTAAATGCAAACCTGACTGCATTGCTCCAACCCTAGTAGACTTCCCATGAGTCCCCAGTGCCCTCAGAGCCGGATGGAGCTGACAGCACACATACACACGCATGAGCACACACACCCTCACTCTCGGTTCCTCCAGTGGGCCCGGCACCCCATCCCCCACCCCAAGGCCTGCCCCAGCCAGGAGCAGCTCACCACTCGGCACTAGAGCCCCTGACGCTGCACCAGGCCAGGTGCCCCTGACACCAGCACCCTGGCCCCAGGTCTCGCTGCTTTCTGGCACACGCACGGGGGCCACGGTGATTCCACCACCCTTGTGAGCAGTCTCCTCCCCCAGCGTCCATGAGGGCGGAGACGGCCAGGGCCACGCCTGTCTCGCCATCGCTGCATGTCCAGAGCCAGGCCCAGTAGGTGCCTGGGGCCCCCACGGAGGGCTATCAGAAACGGGCTGGCCCCACGGGGTCTAACAGCCCGGGGCAGGCAGGCTGCTCAGTGCCAGCGCCTCTGCTCGCCCTGCGGAGCGGCCACTCCCAGGAAGGGCCGGCACAGCCGCAATGCCAGGGACAGGCCGTGGGTGCACTTCAGACTTAGGAAAGTCAGTGGTCTGGTTCAGGCTCACACAAGCAGGAAGCAAGCCATCCAAGGACCAAAAAAAAGGCCCAGGCCAGCTCTAACCCACAGACCTGTTAGAGAACCCTGGACAAAACACACACACACACACACACACACACAGAGGCTGAAGGTCTTACAGACCGGCCTTGCTGGTGGGCAGGGTCCCCCCGGCAGAGTGGGCGGGGGTCTCCCTTTGGGGTGGTCTCAGCTCAGGGCTCCAAGCACAGCTGCCAGCCCACCAAGGCTGGCCCATCAAGGAGGCCCTCGGAGGCTCTGGGGGCAGGTGCCACCACCACCTCCATACCCTTAGGGCTCGCTGCCAGGATTGCACCTTTCCCCACGGTTCTGGGACCTGCAGCCCCAGTGAGGGCCCTGTCAATCACGTGTCCCCCCACCCCCCAGGCGTGCAGCGCTGGGCTCTCTCCCCCAGCACGAGTGAGGCCCTCTCCAGTCCTGGGCTGTCTCTGACCGCAAATGCCCAGGCCACGGGGTCGCAGTTCTGAGCTCTAACAAGCTGGGAAATCCAAGTCCCCCTGTTTGAAGGTTCAGGTCACCGACACCACGCCCCTTCCTTCACGTGGGTCCCCTGCTACACGTCTTCTGTATTTTCTTAGTCATTTAATGCTTTTCCTTAAAAATGAATCACTTGTGTTTAACTCAACCTGATTTAGCCCCTGCTAAGAAACACCTTTGCCGTAGCAGACAGGCTATGCTGGAGACATAGAGGAACGTATCTAATAGATAGGCGTAGATGCGTTGCTTTTTTTTTTTTTTTTTGGATTGGTTTACCCCCCAAATGGCCGTTACGGCCGGTACACCGCGCTGATCCGAAGCCAGGAGCCAGGTGCTTCTCCTGGTCTCCCATGGGGTGCAGGGCCCAAGCACTTGGGCCATCCTCCACTGCACTCCCGGGCCACAGCAGAGAGCTGGCCTGGAAGAGGGGCAACCGGGACAGAACCGGTGCCCCGACCGGGACTAGAACCCAGGGTGCCGGTGCTGCAGCGGGAGGATTAGCCAAGTGAGCCGCGGCGCTGGCCGATGCGTTGCTTTAAGGTATAACTTAACCTTAATTTTAAACGATTTCTCCCAAATAGGATTTCACCTCCCAGCAGTGGCACAAGCCCAACACCTGTGCAGGTAAGGACTTGCAGCCCCCGCTCTCCTGCCCTGCCCTGGTTCCGGGCCCCTCCCACGGCCCAGGCAGGAGCTTAGGGGTCCTCCCAGCGGGTCCCCAACTGTACAGACCCTACCGTCTGGTAAGCGTTTTGCAGAAGTTTCACCATTTGACAAAGACCGCGTTTGACAGAGACCGCGGCCCACGAGCCCCTCCCACGGTTTCCTGACTCCTGCTTCGCGTCTCGGTCTCTGGGCCGCCCCTTCCTTCGCCCTGGCACCCACCCTGCTCCCCCAGCCCCAGGGGGAGGAGCCAGAGCTTCTGTCTCCCCAGGGAACGTCCCCCTCAGCAGCAAAGCCCGCTGCTTCCGGCAGAGCCCACCCTCCCCCCCTCACCGCCGCCGCCGCCACCTCGCCCTGGCCACGGCTCTGGGTCTATCCGGCGGGAAGAGACCAACGGGCTGGTGCAATCTGAGTTTGCAGCCGCAGGCCACCCGCCAGGGCATGAGGCCGGATGGCCGGCCCTCCCTGCCTTCCAGGCGAGTCTCAGAAGACCCGCACAGGAACAGCACATGCTCCGCGTGCCCAGTGTTTGCACCGACCAAAAACAGGCTCCTACCCCACAGGCCGTTTTCAGCCTTTTCTTTCTTAACACAGCAATGCGATTTCATCCCCTCCCCTCCTGCCACACTTCGTCACTGGCGGCAATGCGGGCACACAGCGCGTCCCTCACTTCCCCCTTAGAGGGGCGCGTGAGTCGCCCCAGCCTTTTGGCAACTCTGAGTGGCACCGGAGTGAACGCCCGTCCCGGGTATCTCCACGCAGCCCCTGGGGCGTACGCCCGCCCCCGGTATCTCCACGCAGACCCCTGTGCGGCACCTCATTGGTCCAGAGATTATTTCTCGGACGCCCGATGAGCCGGGCCCTGGGCTGGGGGCGCCCAGCTTCTGTAAGAGAGCGGGGAAGCAGAGACTGGAAGGGCATGCGGCCCTGGAGCTGTAACGGACAGCCGGGCTCCCCACCTGAGCACCTAGTTTCTCTCCCACCACCCGCCCTCCCCTGAACGCCGGGACCTGGCTCTGTATTTACTGTCATTCCCCATGACCACGGCTGCTGGGTGCCTCCTCACACGCCCCGAGAGGCCGCCGGGATGGCTCGGCAGCGGGGGCAGTCAAGGGAGTCCTCTTTGGGCAGCGCTGCTCCGCCCCCCCACATCCTCCCTCACCCCTGGCAGAGGGGGAAGCCGCCTTCCGGTCAGAGAGAGGAAGCCTCGTCCTCAATTGTTCAGCGCGGAGCCCAGAGCTCAGGCCCCGGCTGCCGGAAGCGGCCACGTGGTCCCAGGGACATTCCTCCAGGGCCTGTCCCCTGGATCTGCTGGCGCTGAGCAGGGGGTGGGGGAGCCATGGGCTGGGAGGGGCAGAGGTCCACAGGGAAGACCGTCAGGGGTGTCACCACCCCAGGCTCTGCCCTACACAAGGGCCCGAGCAGGCCGTCTTTCGCTGACTCTGCAGCCCAGCACAGGGAGTAATGGATAACGAGTGGCCACCAGGCACCCCTCACACATCAGCAGCCCCAGGAGGCAGGAGCTGGCATTCCCATTCTAGAGACAGGAACAGCGAGGCTCGGGGAGCTGAAGCGCCAGCTGATGAGGGTGCAGGGAGGCAGCCCTGTCGACCCAGAGAGCTGCTCCGTGGCTCCCCCCACCACCACCAAAGTCTGGCAGAGCCCTGGCCTTGGCATTGGCCTTGGCTGTGGGCCAGGCTCTCTGGGGGCTCAGAGAAGGGCACAGCAGGGACAAAGCCAAGTGTCTCCCACACAGGCGAGGGACTGTGACTTGTCACGGAGGAGACTCCGCGGCGCTGGCAGGATGTGGCGTGTGCTGGGGTAGCTTCTAAAGCAGACCCGAACCACACAAAGCCCTGCCACACCGGCACAGGGGGCAGCTGGCCATCTCCCCTCCCTCCCCACGCAGGTCGGCGTCCAACTGGCAGGGGGAAGCGGGGTCGCTAAGTGTTCCCATCTCACGAGTGGCGGACTGACAAGTCCTCCTAGCTTAGAGATTAATGCAAGCGGGGGAGCGTCTGGGGCATTATGGGTTGCGGTTAAGTATGTGATATTAAGGTTCTGAATGCTAGCCCATTGCAGAGAAGACCCACCCTCACCCCGGCCACCTGGCTGTCCACTCCCTGCGCCACTAGCGCCCAGTGTCTGGGATTGACCCCCACTGTTCAGGTCAAATCCAGCAGTTTTTAAACAGGGGTCCCTCCCAGGGGCCGCGGGGCTCCGCCTGGAGACATCTGGTCGTCACAGCCTGGGGGTTGGGGAGGGGGCGTGTCCCTGCACCGCACACACAGAGCCCAGGGGTGCCGCCCGGGCCCCAGTGCAGAGCCTAAGACCTGGCCGGTGCGGTGGTCGGGGCGGCTCCTTTAAACCCGTCTAAACGATTCTCTACAATGCAGCAAGAAGCTGGGTGCAAGACTTCATCCAGGCCTTCCAAACGACCCCTCTCATTTGCAGGGCACGGCCAGGGCCACTGTGTTCCTCAGGCGACCATGGTCGAGGACCGTGAGCAGCTTCCGCTGCTGTGTTCCAGCCCCAGGACGCTCCTGCTGCGCCTGTCCACTCGCTAAGGCCTCTCGACGGCCTCTTCCCCGCTCCCAGATAGCAAAGCCGCCTGGCCAAGGCCCACGCGCCAGGACCCGTGAGTCATTCTGGCCCTGCTGCCCCGGGGCCATCGTCCCAGAGCTGCTCCCCTGACCCTTCCCAGGGCTGGTCCCACCCGCGCGGAGTCGGGGACCCACCGCACGCATCAGGAGGACGAACGGGGGCGTCAGAGCAAATGATCAGGAAACGGCCTCCAGCCTCTTGCAAAGTCTCACGGAGCAGCTGACTCCTGTCCAAACCGTGTCGCTGCAGCCACCACGCGCCGCCGGCTCGCTCCCGGCCAGCACCACCACGACTACCCCATCAAGGCCAAGATCTGCCTGCCTCAGGTTTCCCCCTGGGAACCTGGCGTGGCTCTGCCCGCGGGTCAGGCGCTGCAGCTGCTCTCCCGGGAAGCCGCCGGGAAGGGACTCGGCTAGCCCCCGCTCCCAGAGCCCTGAGGAACCTGCCTAGGGTCACGCCCTGGGAAGTGGCAGAGCCTGGCCTCCCGCCCAGGGCTGCTGAACCACAGAGGCTAAGTATACACGAGGCTCTTCTCACCAGGAACGGAGGGCTGGCCCAGGAGGGGGAGGTCGCCTCGGGCCCCTGGCTCCCAGGCCGGGCCACCGCCTCGAGCCGCCCCACGCACTCTGGCACTCGTGTCTTCCCAAGTGCAGCCGGGGCCTCTGGCTTCCCTTATGGGAGAGACATTCGGCTGAGCGGAAGACCCGGGGGAAGCTCTGGTCTCCGGGCAGCTGCCTTGATGCCTCGCACAGCCCAGGAGGCTGGAGGGCCTCAGGCGGCGTGGGCAAGGGCCCCCCGGAATGACAATCACCTTTCCCTTCCTGGAAAGGGGAGCGCCCCTCCCCTCCCCCACCCTGCACCTGAACCGGATTCCAGCAGCTCTGGCAGTGCAGAGAAGGGGGGGCAGACATGGAGGGGGGGTTGGGGCGCCGGCGGCAGTGCTCTGCGTGCCCACCACCAGTGTCCAGTGCTAGGTGCCCCGGGACCCCAGTCAGTAAGCAGAGACCCTGCAGCCACCGCTGCCCTCTCATTCACACGTGGCCAGGATGTTCTTACATCAGCGGTCACTTCCAACTGCCGTGGAGTCTCCTCTCTTCCTCGTCTGCAAAACCGGGAAGTGAGGCCACCCGGGGCGGGGACGGGCATTGTCCTAGGAGCCCGTCAGAGAGCAGTGCGCTCTGCTTAGCTGCACTGGGCTAGGATCCCACCCCAGGGGCACTGGACACTGCCTGGGAGACACGAGCCCCGGCTGCAAAGCAAACCGGCTTTCAAAACAGGGCGCTCCCCAGCGGCACAGCACACACACCCGCCACCACCGGGAGCCCCAGGGTGCATCCGAGAAATTCGCACGCAGAGGCAGGGCCGGCCCGGCCGGCCGCCACCAAGCCCAGTCCGGCCGGCTGGAGTGCTTGCCACGTGTGCCTGGGGGCAGAGCGGCGGCCTCTCTGGCGACCCCTGACTGCCACTCCAGGCGGACACAAGGGAGGAACACCTCGCTGGGTGCCCTGGGGGCCGAAGCAGTGGCCGGGCAGGTTCCAGAGCCAGGACCCCAGCGGGGGCCCAACAGTGGGGGGAGTCACCGAAACCAGGCCCCCGGCTCTAATCCCCCTCCCCGACCCCAGGGCGGCCCCCGAGTGTACTCACATGCCCTGCTCCCCGTACTGGTTGTAGAACTCCATGTGGCTGCACGCCTGAATCCAGCCCACGACCCAGGTCTCCCTCTTGGGGATGGGTGGCATGACCACCTGGGCCGAGGCCCGGAAGTGGGGCGTGCGGTAGCGCAGAACCACGCTGGACGACTCGTCGATGCTGGTGGGGATGGGGTCGATGGAGGCCTTCACGTCGATCACGCTGATCCCTTCGCGGAAGACTCTGGCTTTGCCGCCAATGCTCTGGATACAGCCCATGGCACACAGGACCGCGCCGACCAGCAGTCGGCGACCAGCCTGGGGACGGCCAGCAGTCCCAGGCGGAGCGGGCATCGAAGGGCGGCGGCGGCGGTGCAGTCTCAAATCCCAAGACCGCTCTCCATAGGGCAGACAACTCAGCGAGCAGAGGGGCTGCGCATAGCGACCGCCGGCCTCTTATAAATACGGATTCTGCTGCATCTCCGAGCCCTGGGCTCCTCTGAGCAATGCACACACGCACACACACAAAAAAATCACCGATATTCCTTGGGTTAAAAAAGGAAGAGTCTGCAGTTCAGGGGACCACCATGGTGCTCCGTGGCTCCCGCGCGGGGATGGCAGCTCCGGGAGTCTCCCTCAAGCCTTCGGAGGAAGAGGCGAGCGCGGGCGCGCGCCGAGGACCGACTTCCTGCCCTGCCTTCCGCACGCGTCCCGCGGGCACCCGGTCAAGCCCGGAGCGGCCTCTGCTCAGCCGGCCGAGGTCCAGGCGCCCCGGGGCGAGCGCCTGCCCGCCGCTTCCAGGAGGCGCCCGAGCGGCGCGGGTCCCCGTCGGCGCCCACTCGAGGGAGCGGGCAGGGGCGCGGGCCGGACGCCCCCGCCGCCGGCCGCCGTGCGGGCGCCCCGGGCGGTGCTCGGGGGCCGCGGCTGCCGAGGACCTGCGAGGAGGTGGAAAGGATAGGGCGTCAAGGCCCGCCGGGAAGTTGAGCCGAACTTTGCTGCGGGGGTGCACGGGGGCGGCGACGCGTGTGCGCGGGGCGCAGCTCTGCGCGGTCTCCCCGCCCGCCCCGTCAGCGGCCGCCGCACCGCCGCGCGCACCAGCGAATAATCGCCGCCCGTGACATCTCCGCTGACACCCGCCCGGCCCCGGGGGCGGGGAGGGGGCACTGGGCGGACCGCGCCACCGCCTCCAGCCCCCGGTGGCCGGCGCCCCGCGCCCCTTCCGTGCCCGCCACCTGGAGTCGCCGTCCGGGCGGAGCGAGCGCGTGCCCCTTCCCGGTCGGGGTCCCCCCCACCACCCCGAGGGAGAGGCGCCTCCGCCCGCCGCGAGCCGCCCCGGGTCCCCGCGCGTCGGGCGCGCTCGCCGCCACCGGGGAACTTTGGCGCGCACGCCCCCACCCGGGCGGCGCCGCAGACTCACCTGCCCCTCGGAGCGCTCCGCGCGCCCCTGGCCCCGCCGCGGGCACGTCCTCGGGACGCCCCCACCCGCTTCCCGGAGCAGTGTCCCCGGGCGCTCCTGGGGTCTGAAGACGGGCGTGGGCGCCCCCGGCCCCCACCCCGCTCCTGGCTCGGGACGGCTTCGGGGTGGGGGGACAGGGGCAGGGGGTGGCCGGGGGCGGAGGGCTGAGCTGGGGCTCTCTCGCCCCCACCCCGCGCGCCCCCTTTATTTGACGATCATTGCGAGCGTGCCGCCGCCGCCGCTCAGCCCCGCCGCCGCGCCGCAGCCGCCTGGCGCGCCCCGCGCTGCCTCGCTCTGCTGCAGCATCGGAAAGGCAACCGGGTCAAACTTTGCAGAAACTCGGCCCCTGCGCCGGCCCGGCCCCCGCGTCCGCCCGCAGCCGCCGGCCCGAGCGCAGCCGGCGCACGCAGGGACCGCCGCCCGCCCGCGCGCGCCCCGCGGGATGCAGCTCCGCAGGCGGCGGCGGCCGGCGCCGCCTCCTCCTCCCCGCCCGCCGGGCTCTCCGCCCTCGCTCCCCGCACGCAGCCCGCCCTCCCCCAGGAACTCCCTCTCCCCCCGCCCCGCTCGCGCCCGCTCTGCAGCTGCTGGGGGCGCCGAGCCTCTCCTTGCACAAACGACATTTCCTTTTCGGCGCGCCGCGGGAATTCTGGGTAGTGTAGTTCTACTCCTGCCTCGGGCGCAGGTGGGCTGCTCCCCGTGCCCTTTGACCTCGGAGCCCCCCCACCCCCCGCGCCGAGCGCGCGCCGGAGGAGGGCCGCAGGGGTCCGTGGCTGAGTGGGAACAGTCCGGGGTGGGGAGGGGTGCGGCCGCGGTGGCGGGGGGCAGGAGAGAGGACTTTGGGGGGAGAGTGTGCTGGTGCTGCCACAGGTGGTCAGCCTCGTGGACCCCGGCTGTGTGAGAAGCTGACCAAGTTTCAACAGTGCACGCACACACACCCCCCATCCGCTGCTCTGTCTGGGAGGCCTTGGGTGTGTGTGTTTCACGGGGAGGAGCCTGACGCCCGGGGACCCCAAGACTTGCTGCCTGCGTCCCCGCAGTCTGCCTACAGAGGCCGTAAGGGGCTTTGAGCTTGGCCGGCAGCGGGGGCTGTTTTAAGCCCCACCCCTCCCTTGCCAACTATTCCCAGGGGTAAGGCCAAGTGGTTTGTGACATCAGGAAACCCGACAGCCCCCCACCCTCCACCCCCAGCCTGGGAGCCTGCCCACAGGCTGGGCAGGGCGGGGGCTCAGAAGTCCTAGGACCCCGACACTAAGTGAGGGCTGGGGGTCCTGGCCACTTCGAGGGTGGGCAGTCAGGCTATGCCCACCGTCTCATAGCAGTGCTGGCTCAGCCACAGGGCGGGCGGCGGAGGGTGCCTCTCCCCCAGCCACTGTTCACCCTGACCGTGGCCGGGCCCATGGCTGTGGTCTCGCAAGAGGCCAGTCCTTTTCCATGCCCTCTGCTGGGTAGCTGGCTCCTGACCCCACAGACTCGGGCTGAGGCAGGCTCGTTGGCCCTCGTGTCTTGATGGCTACCACATGCTAGAATCCCACACAGCACACAGGGTCCCACACAGCTAGAAATCCCCTTAGGGGATTTCTGGGAAGAAACCGTCCCTGGCCTCTTAGCCCACAGTCACCCTTCCGGGCTGTGAACTCATGCCCTCCGGCCCCCTACAGCCTGCCCTGCGGCTCTCAAAGCCCATCTTGTATGCATCCCCTCCCATCCCTGATTGTCCCGAGTGCCCGGGACAGAGCAGGCCCTGCTGGGTCAAGGCTCTCTGTGCACGGATACTGAGCTGTACTTCCCCTCCGGGCCACCCCCTGGACGTGCACGTGGCCTGGGTTCGCAGTGACACGGGTAAAGCACCCGACACAGCAGGTGCCAGCATTGTCTGCTTTTATCACCGACCGTGGCCGAGGCGGGGTGGCTCTGCAGACAGAGAAACCCAGGGTGCAGGGAACAGTGACTTCTTGGAGGCGTGGACCCCAGCCCAGATCTGGCCAGCTCCACCAGAGTCCACCTTGCTAGGGTGGGACTGAGCTGACCACCAGGGTCCCTCCGGAAGAGGCACGTGGTGGTGGTGGGGGTGCACAGGGGAGGCTGTGCAGGTGGAAATGTTAAACACCAGGAACCCTGGGAGACAGGATTCTCTCCCCAGTTGTTTGGGACCAGACAGAAAAGCCAACAGCGAGGCTATAGGTGGGCGGGGCGGAGGGCCGGGCAGGTGGCTGGGGGCTTGGGCATGGAGGGGCAAGGAAGGAGGCCAGGTACAGGGCATCCTGCAACCCCAGTGGGCCTCGCTTCTGCCGGGGGGGGGGGACAGGGCTCCGTGAGGTCCCCTCCTCCACTGAGGGGCAGTGGCCTGGCCCGGGGATGGCCGGGATGCTTGGAGCAGTGCAGAAAACTGCTGTGGGAGGCCTCCAGTTGTCCTAGAGCAATGCCTGGACAGCCCACTGGGCCAGGCCCACGGAGGACGGCACGGAGCTCACCCCGGGCCAGACAGCAGCGCTCACACCGTGTGGACCCAAGGGGGCACGGAGGGGTCCCTGCAGGACAGCGAAGGAGGTGTGAATTAGCATAAAAAATAAATAGGCACAAATCGATCCTCAAAGGCTACACGCATCGATTGCTATCAGTGCGGGAGGGAGTCGCAGCGATGTCTGGCTGTGCGCGAGTGTGGGTGTGCGCGGCTGTTGTGCATGAGGTGTGTTGTGTGGGTGTACACAAGTGCAAGTGCATTGTGTTTATGTGAGCGTGTGGGTGGGTCAGGGTGTGTCTGGCTGTGTGTGTGATGGTGTGTGTGTGATGGTATGAGTGTGCCTTGTGTGATGGTGTGAGTGTGTCTGTGATGGTGTGAGTGTGTGTGTGATGGTGTGAGTGTGTCTGTGATGGTGTGTGTGTGATGGTGTGAGTGTGTGTGATGGTGTGAGTGTGTGTGATGGTGTGAATGTGTGTGTGATAGTGTGTCTGTGTGTGATGGTGTGAGTGTGTGTGATGGTGTCAGTGTGATGGTGTGAGTGTGTGTGATGGTGTGAGTGTGTGATGGTGTGAGTGTGTGTGATGGTGTGAGTGTGTGTGTGATGGTGTGTGTGTGATGGTGTGTGTGTGATGGTGTGAGAGTGTGTCTTGTGTGATGGTGTGAGTGTGTGTGATGGTGTGAGTGTGTGTGATGGTGTGAATGTGTGTGTGATGGTGTGTGTGTGATGGTGTGAGTGTGTCTGTGATGGTGTGAGTGTGTGTGATGGTGTGTGTGTGTGATGGTGTGTGTGTGATGGTGTGAGTGTGTCTGTGATGGTGTGAGTGTGTGTGTGATGGTGTGAGTGTGTGTGTGATGGTGTGAGTGTGTGTGATGGTGTGAGTGTGTGATAGTGTGTCTGTGTGTTGGGTGTGGGAGTGTGTGTGTCTGTGTGTCAGCTGTATGTGTGTATGTCATGTGTGAGTGTGCCTGTGTGGGGGTGTGTCAGGTGGGGGGTGCCCGTGGGTACAGGTGTGTCAGGTGTGACTGTGTGTGTCAGGTGTGAGAGTGGAGGTCTGTGTGTTTATGTGGGAGTGTGTCAGGTGGGGTGCCCGTGAGTGCAGGTGTCTCAGGGGTGTGTGTGTCAGGTGTGAGAATAGAGAGGTGTGTGTCAGGTATGTGTGTGTGTTTATGAGGGGTGGGGTGCCTGTGGATGCGGGTGTCTTAGGTGTCCACGTGGGGCCAGCTGTTGGACAGGAGGCACCCCACTTTTCCGCGTCCAGCCCCGGGAGCGGCCCTCCCAGATCTCAGCTGGGGAGCCCTGGCCTCCGTGCGCCCCCTTCCCGCCGGAGGCGTCTCAGAGCCCCCAGCCTCACGCCCGCCCTGGGGCGCGCGCTCGGACGCCCTTCGCCCAGTCTCGCAGACCTGGCGCCGCGCGTCGGGCGCCCCAGCGTCAAGGCCGCCTGTG